ATCAAGCTTGGTTTGTCCAGTTGATTTTGATGGTCGCAGGGAAATGTCGAATTTGTCGCTGTTATGACCAGAACGCCAAATTTTATTCTTTCATTTTGATCTTCTCCACACTGTGCGTAGTTCATGAACTGATATTTGAACGTAAATTATCAAAAAGGCGCCTTCCGATCGCCTTTGCCAACTTTGTAAGTCACGCAAGCGCGCAAGCGTTCGACCGATCTCGTTTACGCAACGTTTTAGGACAACTCGGCATCTAATCTCCATTCAGTTGCTGTGAAAACCTAAAATCTTCAACGTAGAAGATAAACGAACGAAGTTTGAACTGTCTAAAGGAGATCTTGGTCAATTCCAAGAATCATGCAAATGATCTTTGACACGAGCACAATTGAGCAAACACATGGATTTGCGTTGTTTTTAAGAAGTTGGTGGATGGAAGCTGGAGATATACCCGCGGGTTTGAGGCAATCCGTGGCCTCATTGATGTATAAACTATGCACTGATATGCTTTTTCAGCCCGATTAACGCCTGCATTTTGAGAATTCTTTCGTACAAAGTAGTGAATTTTGGATATGCAAATCAAGGTTGGAGAGAAGGGTCTCCTCTGATCACGCTGGTATGAAAAATATTTCAGCTGAAGTTTCCATATTTTGTCGGTGAACTAACCGAATACACCTTGTAACTTGTAGCAAGACAGAATTCCATGAGCTACATTGTTGCAGTCGCTGCACGGTGGACAAAATCAAGTATTTTTATTGCAATATATGCATATCCAGCGCACGCTGTAAATGTACTATTTATATTTTCACATATAAAAGTTTCAAGGTCGTCATTAGAACCGTATTTATCAACATGACAGTTTTACTTTCCATGCAGCCGATCAAAGCACAGGTTTTCTTGCTCGCTCGCGGGTCCTACCAAAACGTCTAAATAGCAGAGAAATTGGGAAAACCTGTCAACAAAAGTTAAAAATTCAACACCAGAATCACGATGACTACGATTTCTTGATCACGTATAAAAGGGAACCTCGTCAACGACACGATTAATTAATAACCTAAGCAGGCAGTGGTTTAACGACTCTTACATCAGCAAAATAAAAAATAAAAAGTAGGACGTTTATGTCATTGTGCTATACTCCGGATTAAAGAAAATGAAAACCTAAAAGATTTTGTATGAGGCCCAGTGTCAACTTGGCGTATAAATAGTGAAACAGCATAGCTTCAAAATAGAATCAGAGATCACGAAATAAACAATGACACAACATTTTCTGTTTCGAGCTCGATGAGCTCATATTCAGCTTCTTCAATACTGCTGGTGTTACCAAAAGTACCGTTTTGTTACACACTTGTGGGGCAAATCACATTTTCACAGGAGTTAAGGTGAGGACAGAATAAGTCAATAAGGACCCATTGCAGTGAATGAGATAAATGGGTATTGACTATAGATCCAAATAGAAATAATTTGAGACTTGAGACAAAAGAATGAAAGAAATATCGATCTTATTTACTCATCACGAACGCAGGATCGAATCTTAGACCATCGGATTTTACGATCTGAAGTTCTCACATATAGCTATAGATTTCTCCTTCATGAGCCATGACATACAGTGGTTAAATAAAGGATCATCCTGCATACTGCTTAGATCATCGACGTCGAAAGTTTCATGTCTTAAAATACATAACGATAGAAAGGAAATTTCAAGCTCTTTCGTGACAAGGAAAAAAATCGTTTTTAACCGACGACCGAAAAAAAAAAACCCTATCCGTCAGATCAGGTTATACGACAGGTTAAATAACAATGCTGACATTTAGATAAACATACCTGACCTTGAGGTAGCTTATTTATCTTCCCATGAGGGATTTACGAAGCTGCGGCATTTCTGATTCCAGTATCAAGTGCGTCACTTGTCTGTATGAACTATTATACATTTATTTATGGTCTCGCTTACTGCATCCAAACTCAGCAGACAATTCTGGAGCTCAAAGAAACAGAGAGCTAAGGTCTTAGATTTCTCCTCCAACTTTAAGACGACTGTTTCAGTAACAGTTTATTCATAAAATTCCTGCAAGATACCCTGAGGGTTTCTGTACACAAAGATGCATGGAGTACATAGATTTAACAAATTTTGAATATCTTTCTCGGTTATTTCTCTAAGAAGAGTACTTATGGTATTCGCTTTAATTTTTTCCAAGACGCGAAACGATTTAAATATGCTTTTCTCTAGATACAACGAGAAGTCAAGTATTTTTCTTGGAAAAGAGCTTAATTGGAGTTAAATTTATTGCAAGTATTCTTGAGGTGAGGAAAGCTAATGAAGAAATACGTAGCATATTATAATCGAAAGACGAGAAAATTGGGAAAAAAAGTATACATAAAGAATACATCCTATTGATGTGATTTCTTTAGCTTTGTATCTCCCTCTAATGATTTCGCTGGATTATAACAAGTAATAATCATAAAAAGAATTGAAAAAACAAACAAACAAAAGATCAAGCACAATAATTTTCTTAAAGAACAACAGCAATTTTGATCACGAAACTGGGCATTAGAGGAGGTTAAATCTTTCAAATTCATGAATATGTTACCTTCATTTTTTCATCGAAATTGTTGTAAAGCAAAATATTATTTGTGATATTTTCAGGCATGTAGAATTGACAAATGATATCATTTGGAGAATAGAGGG